TTCCTGATTTGCTTGGTAGAAATCAGTGCAGCACCAAGCTGGAAGATCCAGGTGTTGCAATGGTCCATGTAGGTGACAGAGGAAAACTGTCAGCTATACTGGGGAAATGAAAAAAGAATCCTTTAAAAATGGTTTAAACTTACCAAACAGCATGAGTGGAGTTCTGAGACAACCAGTCCTAATATTTACATAAAAAGGAACAGGACACTAATATGGGATAAGCTCTGCACACTCCATTCCTCATATCTGTCCTGTGATTTTTGTAATGCTTTTGGTTTGGTTGTTTTTGTTTTGTTTTGGTTTTTTTTTTTTGTTATGGCTTGGTTATTCGTAGCATAAATGATGCTGTGTGAACTGTACCTAATCAGTATGCTGTTACCTCCTTACTGGTCACAAAACATTTCCTCTGGGTAATATATGTAAATTTTTAAATAGGATGTTAATACTATTATTCACAGTTTTATGCATTGGGAATAGTATTTATTTGACAGGTTTCTTCTATTTTGGGTGTTTTGTTTGAGTTCTTAAATGTGATAAATTTGTATCTTGGAATGTTAGCATCTCCATTTGTGGACTTCACACTTAAAACTCTGTGTGTTGGTATGAAACGTTTTGCAGGTTTGGGTGTGTGGGAGGATAAGAGAGTCATCACTGCATCAAAAGCTTGATTATGCTTTGGTTACCATTTATATGTTGAGAGGCATTTTTGGTTTATCTTCAGTTTTAAGCAGAAACCCACCATTCCTAGGTTTCCAAACCAGCATTTTTAAACAGCTGAGCTGACATTGTGATCACTGCTAACCCTGCTGAACTCACACTTTAGAGAAGATTCTTCTCAGTGATAAAAAATAAGCAATGCTACAGTAAATTACTGAAAAGAGACTTTGTACTTTCTTACAGGGGCAGGAAGCGTTTTGTGAGTGAGGGAGATGGAGGTCGTCTGAAGCTGGAGAGCTACTGAATGTGAGACCTGCCTCCTGAAGCCTTACCAGCTGAAAGGAACACAGCTCGCTATCGATATATACAGCACGCATGCTCCTCCGGTGTGTGTATGGATGCACAGCTGGGACTGACCAAATTTAAGAGTTGCTTAGCACAGTTCGTATTTTTTTAAGAGCACATGTTTTGGGTACAAATTGTTTTCTTTTTTTTTTTTTAATAGTTTTGTAAATTTCAAGAAGAAGTGTTCTTTCTTTGGGCATATAGTAGAACAACTAGCCACTCTGCTGTGGTGGTGCCTTGAAATAAGCTATCTCTGTATGTGCCATGTTTATGACCTAATCATTCCACGTGTGCATCGATGTCTGACTGCCGCTCGCTCTTTCCAGGACAGTGCTGTCATCATAAAATCACTGGTTTATACAAAGCTTTATTATAGAAGGGTCAAGTTAAGCTGCTGTGATCCCATTTCCATTGCTGCTAAAGAAATACTGTGCTTTGGGAGTTTAAAAAAATTAGCAGTTTCTTTGTTTTAAAGAGTCCAAGAAAATACAGCTGGGGCACAAGACTAATTCATCTGTTTCAGGGGAGAACACTGGTTGGTTTCAGCCCCCATGTACCAAACTTGTCTTTTTTTCTATGTAACTGGAAAAGTGAAAAGTTCTGGTAAAACATAATAAAAATATTTTTTGTGAAGCTCTTGTTTCTGCCTCCTTTTTATTTGTTTTAAACAGAACAAACTAAGCAGTACATCTAATGCTGCCCTTTGGTATTGCAATCAGGAGGAGGGCACAGAATAATTAAACTCATGGCAAGTGAGTATTTACCAGAATGTTTTGGAAACACAACTGACTTGCGTAGGAGCGTCCAGGCTGGCACAGATACTGTGAACGTGTCTTTGCAGTAGAGCTTCGTGCAGCCCTTGCTCAAGAACAAGAGGATCTAAGGATGACTCGTTTACAGGAACTCGGTAGAGCCTCTCCTTTGTTTTTCGGTTTCACGTCAAGATTTCAGGCGTTCCGAAATGCTGGAATAGCCATTCCAGGGCCGGGAATATGCTGTGCTCTAGGAGCCAAGCAGGTCTGGTAAGCCCGGCTGGGAGCAGAGGTTGTGGAACTCGCCTCCTCCCGCTTTCCTTTTCTGGTACCTCTACAGACGCGTTTTAAAGCAGCGCCAGGGCAGCGGCCAGCGCAACTCCTACACCACGAGCGCCCGACGCGCGGCCTCCCCGCCCAGCCGGCACCCCCGCCCGCGTTCAGGCCGCACTAAGCGGCAGCCCCGCTCCACAGCGGTACCTCCGATCGCGGGCGCCGCCGGGCACGACCCTCCCCGCACTACTGCCGGGGCGGCGCGGCCCCCGCGGACGGCGGCGGGGCAGCCTCGGCCGCCTGGGCCGCGTCCAGCGCCGCCCTCTGCAGCTTCTCCAGCTTCTCCAGCGACACCGACTTGAGGGGCAGGATCTTGGGCTTGCACAGCACCATGGCGGCCGTGTCCTCCACCGAGAGCTGCCCTGCAAAGGGAGAGAAGGGCCGTGAGCGAGTGCCGGGCCGGGCGGGCAGGGTCGGGCGGTGCTCGCTGCCGTACCTTGCTTGGGCAGCACCTCCCGCAGCACTCCCGTCCCCTCCGGCATGGCGGCTCCGGCACGGCACCGGCCCCGGGGCCAACTACAGCTCCCAGCTTGCACTGCACGGCGCCACGCCCACGCACCCCTCTCGTGCTCCCCCGGTGCGTGCTGGGAGTGGTAGGCTTAACGGGGCTCCGGCCGCCCCAATGCGCGCTGGGAACTGTAGTCTTTGGCGTGGAGCTGCTCCGGGGCCGCCGCGGGCGCGACGGGAGCGGCTCCTCCGGGGCTATCCCGGACCCGGGATTCTAGGATGCCGCTCCCCGCCTCAGCTGTGCCGGGTTCTGCTCTGGGGCGGAGCCGTCCCACCTGCGCGGGCCTGCCCGGCCCGGCGAGCCGCTGCCTGCCCGCCCGCCAGGGCCCGCCGCGGAACTCAGGCTTTGAGGCGCTTTTATGGTTTATTTTCTGATTCTGTAAATAAAATCCCCACCAAACACCGTCCAGCAGACGGGCGTGGCCAGGGCGTACGCGTCCCGGTTTTCGTTTCCAGGCAGCGCCTCGGGATTCGCGCTGTGAATCACGCTGCTGTTTGACATGTAAACAGCAGTAAAAGCCGCTGTCTTCTTAAACGCTGAGGGCTCAAATGCCGCCGAACCTGACGGGATCCCCCACAAGGGTTCTCCTTTTGCGGGATCTTTGCACCGGGAGCAGCTTCCCTGGGAAAGCCCCCGGGGAGCCGCGTGTGAGCCGGGAGGGGCCGGGAGGGATTCACCCATCCTGGGCCCCAGCGAGCCCCGACGCCGGGATGTGTTGTAATTTTAGAGTTTGCTAATGAGCTTGCCTGTGTGCCCTGCACACCCTGTGCGCCTGGGGATTGGCAGCTCAGGCTGGTAATCCTGCTAACCTGGCTCCTTTCAGTGTGCTGGGATTGAGATCTGGCTTCCTTCTATGCACAGGGATGGCCGTGGATGAGTAAAATCAGGTGGAAAATGATCTTTGCTAATAGTTGTTTTCCATTTTGCCTTGGTGGTGGCTGTCTGGGTGCTTCCTTCCCTCTGCTAGCTCAGGTGAGACCTGTCAGCTGTGGGATCCAAGGTTTGCTGGGAGAGTAGTGATAAAATTTTAACTTCCAGTAAGTGGCACCTCTCTGACAGTTATTTAAAGCCTTTGTCTGCATTGTTCCAGAACCATTTCCTTTTTCCTCTAGGCAACCTAGAGGAGGAAGCTGACAATCCCTCAGGTACCCGGTTCCACCTCGCTGGAAGCCTCTCCTGATGCTGGGTTGGAGGCCAGCAGAACCCACAGAGCCTGGGAGCAGGGCTCCTCCTCCCTCCTTGTGGAGCTGGCCAAAGGTAACTCTCCTGGGCTGCTCACATATTCCGTACTCACATATTGGCCTTTTTGGCCTTACTCACATATTCCACTTTCAGGTCAGAATATCAGCGTTGGTGAGGCTGTGAAATGGATGTGCTTACTGGGGACATCCTTTTCTACCCTTTGAAGTGCTCAGAAGCATTCCCACTGATTTCAGTGGGAAAAGTTCCTTTGTCTGATGTGCTTTTCCATATGCCAGTCAGTATTTTTTGCTGCCTGGAAGGGAAAGGACAAGGCACTGCTTTATGATGGATGTTTTTAGACCAGGGGATTTCAAACAGTACATGCAATTTGCAGATCAGATATTTGTAGATGTTTGTCATTTTGTTTGTAAGAACCAATCCAGTATCTTAGATATGGCTATGGCTATGGCTAAAAATGAACATAAAAGATACCCAGTTATGACTGAAAACTTTGCACTTTGAAAGCAGGAGTTATTCCTGTGGTAGCAAATATGGCCTGCAGAGCAACAGAAATGAGCTGAAAGCAAGATGCTGAAATAAAATTATAGGCCAGGTTTTTTGCCAGTGTCCTTCACAGTGCCAAGGCCACCTGGAGTCCAGCATTATGTGAACACTTGCATTTGGAGCCCATCTCAGTTGTGCAGAGAATCACTTTCCAAAAGCAGTTTTCCTGCCAACAGGGTTTGTTTGCTTGGTGATAAGAAACAATGGTCAGCTCAGTTTGTTGCTTGAGCATTTTAGTGACTGAGAAGTCTGGCATCCTGTACTAGATCCATTTTCTTAGCTACTCAAATGCCAGCTTGGCAGCCTATCTAGGAAGCTGATAGCACTGGGACAGGCGTGATTGTGGAGGTTGTTTTCAACAGTTTCTAGTAAGTCTGTTTTTAAGACAGCTCCTTTCTTTTTTCCTTTCCTGGGGAAAAAAAAAAATCATAGTTACCACCTTCATGACTGGGAAGTCTAGATGAGAGAGAGGAAGGAGGCATGGGCATGCAGCTTAATATTCTACTTTTCAAAGTGCCTTAAAAACAGGACTGGGTTTAGTTTTGAGTAAGGCTGGTATTTATTCATAGTTATACCCCATTTTTTGACCTTTTTGGCCTCTGGGGTTGACATGTGCTCAAGCACCCATTCATTTCTCTCACAGGCCTTTCCAGTTCCCAGGAATAGCTGGGAAGCTTTTGCCAAAACCCTTCCATCTGGGAAAAGCACCGTGCACTTGCAGTGGAACTGTGCTGAGTCAGTGCATTATCTTGGTGCCATTCCACAGGGCTGAAGAAGTCAGAACAAGACTGTCCTTGTGCCCAGGTCTCAAGTTGTGTCCCCATGGCATGAAGCTTCCCAGAGTCCTGAGACTCGACCTCGGGATGAAGCCTGGTGTTATTTGAGAAAGCCTGAGCGTGGTATCCACGGAGAGGACAACGTGCTCTAGGTGGCACATCCTTATTTTACTGATGTCACAAACAAGTTATTCTTGTGCACTGCAGAGAGCCTCACAGCCACAAAACCAGCAATAATTTTATAAATGATAAGCTTGTTTTCCTCCTCCTGTTCCCAGATACTCTGAGTGCAGCAGACAGCAGAGATGTGCATTGCTGGAATCCAGAGGGTTTCGTAATTTGGCAGCCACTTGCTGAAAGCCCTGCAGATACAAAACAACACTTATTTCAAGTCTTGAGAAACATCTCCTACTAAGTAGAAGAAAAAAGCATTTAGGTGAAGCAATGTTGCCAGTCCCATTTGTTTATGAGGCTTGGGTTTTGTCTTTATACATTTAAAATGCTTTTTATTTTCCTTCTGCTTTTTAAGCCTTTCAAGTTCATGTTTTCCATACGACAGGAAAGTCTGGAATGAAGTTCTTACTTTTAAAAGCAAAAATTTGGTTCAGAGTCCTGTATAATCATGCAGCTCCAGACATGGGGTATTTAAAAATAAAGCCACTTTGATGAGGACTACCCATCTTGAAGCTGACTTTCTGTTCTGAGTTTAAGTAAATACTTTGTTGACAGTTTAAGAAGCTTTTAACAGCACCTGATCTGTGTTTGCTTTCCACTTGGATCTCTCTCTCTTTTCTTCTTTTCTCAAATTCTAGAGCTTGTTTCACCTCTCTATGTGCTGATGAGATCAGAAATGTAGTGTGGCAGCATTTGGTAAACAATGCATCCCAGTGCTTTCAGAAATACACCTGCAGATTTCATGCAGTTGTCCCTGAAGCTGCTGAGTGGTACCCTGGGACACAGAGCCCAGCTTCAGAGAGAGGAGGAGGAGGAAGGTGGTTTGGGTTTACTGGGTGGGGTAAGGCAAGGAACAGAAAGCCTGGCATGGCTCCCTGTGGGAATCCCGAATGCCTTCAGAGCCTCAAGCTTGATTGCTTGGTGTTTAACCCAGTCCTTGTTTTTGAAAGGAAGTTGACAGACAAATGATTTTTTTTAGCTGAGCTTTCTGAATATACTTATTTTAAGTTTGTTGTTTGGTGCAGTTTGATGCAGATCCTCAAGCTGTATGCAAAAGGCAAGGAGACGTGCCTGGAAATGCATTATCCAAGGGACACAGACACAGCTTTTTGACAGGCTGCTCTTCCTGCTAACACCTGGTAAATGCAGAGACCTGGCTCCATGTAAGTCCCATTCTGGGCTCCTAAGCCAAATGTTCTACACTGGCATTTCTAGTAGGTTACTGCTCTACTTGTGTGGTTTGAATCCCTTAAGTCTTTGGCCCTGTGCCCTGGAGTGCCAGCAGAGGCTTGCTGTAATTGCCCGTAAGTGCACCGTCTGTCAGATTATTGTTTAATTATTCCAGCTTCTCAGCACCACACACTGCTCTGTGTCTCTCTTGCTATCTTCATTTAATTGAGTGGAAGAAATTCGAGACTTGTGCTTCTCTTACATCACTTTGTTTTTACCCATCCTCGGCACATCCTACCATCAAGTCCCACCTTTTGTTTGCAGAACTCAGTCTTCTATAGAGAAAAAAACCATTGTCAATATCTCAAGCATACGTTAGAAAGAGAATCAATATTTTAACACATGGTAAAGTCAAACCATAAATCTCTAAACACAATGAAATGATTGTATTATTCTCCCTTGAAACACCGCTCCTCCCCTTGGGAAACAAGAGAGGGAAAGAAAACTCTTGGATAACCAAGCCCTTGTCCTCACAATGCAGGACTGTTCTTAGCCCTTCTCTCTTTGCTGCTCCTTCCTCTTCAAGACCCATCTTTCCCCAGCCCATCCCTGTTCATCTCTTCCAGAGTATTACTGGGATATCAGCTCTTTTCCCAAGATCAGCTTGTGATGACCAGTTCCACTGCCTACCTGCTGCCATTTCAAACATCTCTGTGCTTCTTCCCGTCCTTGCTACCAGGCTCTTAATAATGTGTGTTGGAAAAATAATCTTTCTGAGCTCTCTCTGATACTCCTTGTCTGTATGGCCTATAAAAAAACCTGGCAACTCTGTCTGCTTTTCTTCTCTCATGCTCCCTGTGCTTGTGACAAATATGTGTCATTTTTCTGGTCTTACACTTGGCTTTCAGCCTCTGAATCAGAACACTCTTCTTGTACAGCCCCCCACACAAAGATCAAGGCTCTGGTGCACTATGACAATAATAGTAAATGTTAGGGTTGCTGGCACTATGCTCTAGTTTTCATGGCTCTGGGCAGAAGGAGTTTAATGATGTCCTTTTGGAAGATCTATCTGCACCTGAATGATTTAGTTTTCAGGGTTTTATTTAGAAATCCTCAGCTGAAACCCCCCTTTACAGGTGTGTTCCTTGACTGATTTTTGGGGTTGTTCTTTTCACTTCCTGTAACTGAACTGTAGGATTACTTATTTCATGCTGCTTTCTGATTTTATTTTTCAGCCATCTCTTTTCTTCAGGAAGGAGCAATTTATGCAAGAATTTCAGTGTGGATCTGACTTTAGGCTTTATTGCTGTTTGTCACCCTTCAGGAAATACATCCCTGGCTCCAGCACTCAATCCCTGCTGGCATTCTGAAGAGGAAGAGAAAATAATAAATAATAGAGCTGCAGCTATTAAGACCAACAGGCAAATATTTTATTCAAACTCAACTTCTTCTTCCTGGGTCACTCTTAAGGAATATTTTTCTGATTGTGAGGATGCGAATGAGGGTTGTGTTTGTTTGTCTTCCTGGAGATTCCCCTATTCAGCTGATCTTCATCTTCTTCCACATTTCAGGCAGCAGGGCTGGCAGCAGTGACAAGCTGTAATCCCTAGGAAAACTGCTTGTGCCTGTGGCCTGGGTTAACCTGCTGGCAGTGATACGTGCCTGGGCAGGGGCAGCTGTTTCACACAGCTCAGCATGGACGTGCTGCCACTCCCAGCCACTTTTAGGACACAGGTGAGGTGTTTACAGCAATCTCAAAAAAGCCTGTAATAAAGTTGTTCTGCCTTCCTGGAGTCACCACTGCCAGAGACCTTTCCTCTTTCTTGGCTACTGCAGGAGCCTCCTTCCTTCAGCTTCACACCTTTATCAGCTGAAATGATACAGTCAAGAGCTGGCTGTGGTCAGGCTCTGTCTCAGAAGGAGGGGCTACTCTGCCACTCCTGTGGCTGCTGAGAGCAGGAAGATCAGAGAGGACAGCAGGGAGGTGGAAGCCTGCTCCCTCTTTTATGTGGAATGGAGTCAGGATATGCCCTTGTATGAAGCTGAGCAGAGAAAAGCTTGGGCTGCCCTCGCACCGTGCCATTCCAGTCAGCCTGGTACTAATCTGCAGGGATCTCTGAAGGCATGAAACAACATGCAGTGCAAATGAAATCTGAGCCACACCACAGTACTGGTGCCAGCCTCTTTTAGAAGGCTGCCATGAGAGCCAAGGGAAACAGGTACAATGGTAGGAGATGCCTTGTACCACCTGCAGGCACAGACCTACAGCACTCCAGCAGCTCGTGAGCCATGTGAAAAGCTGGTGAACCCAGGGCCACTTAGACTTGAATGCACTTTCCTGGGGAGGAAGTGGCTTTTCCCTTGGAAAGCTCAACTCCCCAGGGTCTGCATGAGGTCAATGGAAAAAGTGATTTCTTCAGAATGTGATTCAGAGTGCCTAAGCACTGGGCTTATCTTACTGACTACAGAGGAAGCTCAACTTCTGTAGATTTAAACTCACTTTTGAGAACACTCATCCCCTCTTGCCCCTTAGTTGTGGGAGTTATACTAGACCTGGATGTGGTTAGTCCTTGGAAGCCACACTACCTACTGAAATTCAGGTGCTGCAGACCAAAGCTAAGAAAGCTTGTCTACCAGAGCACAGGAAGTCCTGTTGGATCCTGTTTTGTCCTTTTGAGTTACCCTGGGATGTCAGAAATGGATTTGCAAGTACCAGAAAGGAAAATTAAACCAAGAAAGGTTGGTTTCTTCATGGTTGTCCTGACTGGAGCTGGAATAATCAGCATCTGTTTCAGTTTAACTGAGTTTTCATTCTGGCCTTTCTCCTCTTTCAAAGTACAGGCAACTGAAGCCTTTAATTTGCCCTATCTTTCACTGCAGAGGAAAATAGGAGTTTCTAACAGCTGTTACTATCCTGTCTAGAATAGCTACACTAAAAAAATACAGTTTATTGTCTGTTGTGAATGAAAAAGCTCTTGCTTGTTTCTGTTGTTTGTTGTGTTGACTTTGAAAGATAAATTGTTTGAACTGGTTGACTCTCCGTTTGTATAATTGAAGATTAGCTTGCTTGATAGCCTGCTGGATTTGTAGTTTTCCCTTGCTCTGAACAAACTGAAGAACTGCTGGCAGTTAGGACACAGCACATAGTGCAAAAAGTTTGTGTTCATACAGGTAAATAAGAAAATAAGTTCATGCATGACATTCTGGATGTGCTGCTTCAGTGCTGATATGTCCTGTCTTTCCACCTAGAGGAGTTCTTGTAAGACCTAGGAAGCCTTTTTTAAAAATTGCTAACAGACATGGATAGGTGGCTAATGAGTTGAAAGTAGAAGCTGGTAGGACCAGAATTAGTTTTTATATGGTAGTTCTAAAATCCTAAATTGTGCTGCTTGTGTTTGAGAACATAGATACTCTGTCCTTTTATCATACATTTGCTTGTAAAAACAGTTGGAGAAAAAAGAAAAATAACTTCTTGTCACTCAAGTAAGCAGACCTGGCTCTGAATATATAAAAGGAAGTGACAGTAAAAATAGCAACATCTTATTGTACTGTAGTCCTTCAACAGAGAACCACATTTTGAGGTTCCCCTTCTTTGCATCCCTCTTTGTATTGCAAAGGCATCCTGCTCCAAGCAGAAGCTTTTGCTCTGGGGGGTCAGAGTCCAATTTCAATGGGACAGAGCTTGGTGTCAGCCAGTGCACTGAGGATCAGCTTCCAGACATTGACAAGGGCTCTGACTCTCCATGGGCATCTTCCAGGTTTGGTTTCTGTGCCTTCCTCTCTCCCCTTCTGCCAAGTGGTCCAGCCTTCCCAGTTTTTGTCTACTCATAATAAAGGCAGTGGAGCCAAGGTGCCATTCGAGGGGAAGACAGAAAAGAATGACAAAGGCATTCACTATTTCCATGATGGGCATGGTGCTCACAAAATTAAATGGGATTTGTTGTGCCATCAGCCTTCAAAACATGCTTCTATCCCTCAGAATAACTAACCCCTTGAAACCCTTGGCCAAGAGACTGAAGCCAAACTTCTGGTAAACTGACAATTCAAGGGAAAGGATGTGACAGGAAGGTCTACATAGATGGAGGTGTAGATGAGAGGAAGGCAAAATCTAGTGTGAAATTTTGAGATCTGAGACATGATAGTGGGAGACTGAGATACAGAAAGAAAGAACAACTGGGAATTAGAGTTTTATGTTGAGACTGGTTGGCAAGGAACTGACAGACAGAAGACACAGCAGAACTTCAGTACCAAGAAAGAAGAAGGAAGAGAGTGGAAAGTCAGGGGGATAGGCATAGTTCATAGTGACATGAAGAACCAGACAAGAGACTGGACTAGGAGCTGGCACGGGGAACCAAAGTTGGAGGCCCTGTTGGAGATTAGGAAAGGAGGGGCAGTCTGGGGAAGAAACAGGTGATCCAGGTCTGAGAGTGGAGGTGGGGCACAGGCAGCAGGGAGGGAACGGAGTAGCAGGGGAGAGCTGTGGGAAGCAGCCCCACGCGGGGCTGAGCAGGGGGTGTGGGTGGAGAGGGGCACCACGGGCTCTGCCTGCTGGGACATCCTGACTTGCAGAGCTGGAAGTAGAACAGAGTTTCCCTGAGGCTGGGCTTCATGTTGGCTCAGCCAGCAAAGAATTTGCCTCTTGTGCTGTCTGCCCCAGCAGCAGCACAGGAACCACTGGAGCTGAGTGTCCTTGGCTGAGGCAGCAGCAGCTGCCTGCCTGGGGGAGGAGAGCAGGCTTTCGGGCAGTTGGATGACAAAAATTTTACAGTTGGGAGGAGGTAGTGAAAAGGCCACATGACTGAGGGAGAAAGGGTCAATTCATTAGTCTGGCAGCCACTAAATTAAGAAAAGGCAAGTGGGACTATATATCAGAGGTATCTCAATTCGATCAAAGATGATTCTGAAGTTGCTAGATTGATCTTGTGGTCGGCTTAAGCAAGCTTAACTAATTAATTGCTTTATTTTAGTTCATTGTGTAAGAGCTCGCTCCTAATAAATCACACTGTTTTGTAGAAACATGCTTGAGACAACTGTGTAAATACTAAATAGCCTTAGGAATGGTATTATGAATCTACTGAATAATCCAAATTCCAACACTCATCCCCCTCTGCTGCTGGTCTGGATGGAGGATAACAGCCACTGCTGCTGTTTCTCTGTCAGTAAAAGGGGTAGAAGTCTGTGCTGGACACACAAGGGTGGGGACACAGCTGATGGCCCATGGAGGTGCTGTGATGCTGCACCAACAGCTGTCCTTTTCAGGAGCACAGGAAATGCTACAGGTGTTACAGGAACATTATGGATGTTGCAAAGCCAAGCCTTTAAAAGTTAGGCAATGTCCAAACAAAGTTGCCAGTGAAACCTTAATTCAGAACCCTGTAGGTTATGAAATGCTCTTTAATTATATTTCTCCTCCTGCTTGTTTCAGTGTGGATGGCAAAGTTCAAGGTGCTTGTACAGTCCCGTGGGGTTTCTGGGACAACAGTCTCATGATCCTGAGAGACTCTTCACTAATGCTTGTAAGGATTGTGGACTCTTATATTCACCCTCTGCTCTGGGACTGGTCTGTGCCAATGAGATCTGAGGACAAACATTGCTGATGGAGACTGGGAGGAGGTTGGTGCAGAGCATCCAGGAGGAGGGTACAAAATTACCTACTCCATTTGGGCAGATTAAAAACAAATCTTTCATGCATGAATTCTGCCTTTGCAAAAATGTCTGTTAGTTCTGATTGCTGGCACAAGTATTTTCATAGTATCAGTCTAATCTCATATGACACATTTAAGGATTTGCAGCAGAAGGGTGGAGTTAGCAGTGTAAATTTCTTGGCTGATTTATCTCTTGTGACAATTGTCCTGCTCTGCTTTATATCAGCTTTTCAGAACAAATCAGAGGTTTTGAGTATAAAGGAACATTTCTTTAGATTTCACATAATATTTTTTTTAAAGCAAAGTGAGTGGAAGCAGAAGTAGAGTCTCTAACAGAACCAGAGTACATGTAGCACATATCCTTGGTAAATATTTCAATGCTGAGGCAACTGGGCAGTGACACTTTGCACACAAAGGCCCTAAGAAATATAAAGGTTTATGACAAAACATTCAGATCCTCCCTACAACACTACAGTCTTTTAATGCAAATGGCTGTGTTCAAATTAAGTCACACAAGAAACATTTTTTTCAGACTCCAAGCTCTCAAGGCAAAGTGTGTATTTCCATGTCTTGTAGAGGATCCTGCACAGTCCACAATGAAGTCTTACTGATTAATAACAGCAAATAAACATCCAGTCAGTGTAAGAAATATTGTCACTAGGAAATTTCAACTGGTTTCTGTCTTGTGACCCAATATGCTAAAAATCCAATTCTGCTTTTAATAC